TTGTAAAAGTAGGAATGTGGAACACAACTGTTGCCTGCAGATGTTGGTGGCTTGACAGCCAGTGGAGGGAGGTTCGGGGGGCTGTGTTCCCAAGGGCACAGGTGCACCAACACAGCCCCACTGTCCAGCCCTTGGCTTTCCAAAGAACTGCGAGATACGGAAACAGACACCACTGTCACCAGGAAAAGAGGCACCGATCATGGGTTCCCGCTTTTCTTGTCTCTCTCTCCTCATCGTCCCTCCCGTCTTTCTTTTTCTGTCGTTCTTTCTACCTCTCTCAGCCTCCACTTTCAAAAAGGACTTGAAGTATCCTGCAAAATAAACAATCACCTATATCTACGTTAGCTAAGGCTGAAAAAGTTCAGAGATTATGCAGAGGAAAGACTAAGATCATTCTACGAGGTGCCAGTGATGATACACTTGTGGTGACTGAGCTCTGAATTTGACTAAGCTTCCTGGCAACCAAGGCAAAGAAGGATATGTAGGGTTTCCAATGTCCCTGTAGTAATTTTTTTTGGGGGTGGCTAATGAATTGTAGAAGACATTGACATGGAATTTGAATGTTCTAATGGGAGTGTCTCTAGAGGATTTTTGTTTTGTTTTTATTAAGTTCTTTGAATGGCTGTTTTCTTTTATTGCCTCTAATCAGCGTTGAACGCCTGATATTCTGTCCCAGAACAGTGAAGTCACTTCCTCAGGGATTACGCCTCGTGGTAGACAAGGACATTGTTTTCTGGTCACCTGACTTGATGAGGGGTAGAGGTGGGAGGTTAGCATATTATTTCGAGCTCTTGTTCATACCCCCTCCAGTTAATTTTTGGATTTTGTGGTGAATATCATGCTCCTGGCTCATGCATTCATTCATTCAACAAACACTTAGAGGGCTCTCAGGCTATTTCCTGCTCTGTGCTCTCGAGGCAGCTGGAGGGAGAGAGACAAACAGTCATTGTACGTAGTGGCAAGCATGATGATAGAGTCTGTGCAAAATGACACCAATTATGGACACACAGACAAGGCACTCACGATTTCTGTGTAGGAAGGTGGGGTCCAGGAACGGCTGCACTGAGGAGATGACACTTGAACTGGGTCCTGTGAGTTTCAGTGGCTGAGTGAGGTCACCTTCCAGGCAGAGGGAGGACAGTTCCTGGAGTGCCTGAGGAGTAGCCAGTGGAACGAGGGTCCAGGGACCCCAGGAGATGGAGGAGAAGGCAGTTGCCTCAAACAATCCCAGGAGCTGAGTGGGACAGAGAGTGGTGAGAAACTGGGGAGTAATTACAAAGCGAATGAAATGACAGCATCCCCTGGCTCGTGCAGGAGCAGAGCAGGAGCTCTAGGATCCCACCAAAGGAGAGGATGGGGCTCAGTCCTGTGAGCAGGAGGTGGTGGGAGGCACACGTAGCAAAGGGCAGTGGCAGCTGGTTTAAGAATCCACTGTCTTCTCAGCCCCAGCTCTTTAGGGAAGTTCATTGCACCTTCTGGCAGCCATTGGTGGTTGAGCAACTGGACTTTTGGGTCTCCCACTGCATGTCTTACACAAGTTGAAGATTTTGTGTCTGCAAGAGATGATTCAAACCCAATTGCTCAAGTGACTGAACAACCTTTGATACTGAATTTACTGACTAAAACAGAATCCAATAACAAAAAAGCCTCTTCCATCTGGATATTAAATATGTTAAGAGGCAGGGTTGGCCATCCTCCGATCATTTTCTTAAACCCGGGGTGGCTGTGCTCCTTGGGAAATAGCGCCTTTCCCTTGTGGACGCAGCTGCCCAGCCCGGAGTCTAGGAAGGGGGCAGACCTGGTAGTGGGGTGGGGAGGGCGCAGGGGTGCTACTTTTAGCCAAGATGCTGCCTGGCTCTCCTGAGGATAAGGGTCACTCATTCATTTGTTCATCCAAGGTTCACTGTGCAGGCTCTTCAGAGTCGAATCCCAGCTTGTCTACTTTTTCATCTGAACCTCTTCCTCATGCAACTATTGACATGTACCTTGTTTTTGGATCACTCCCATATCACCTCCGAGCTTTCTTTCAGCTCTGCTCAGCAGAGATCAGGGCCAGGGATTGCTCAGGTCCAGGATAAATAACAGCTTGCCCAAGAAACATTTCCTTACCACTTCCTGTGCCATGTCAACGAATGGCTCTGTGCCCTTGTCCCTGTTGGATGGAGCTTCAGGACCACGTGTCTTTTCCCTTGAGATGTGTGGATGAAGGTCAGGGAGCATGTCTGGGCCTCACATACCATCTTGCACACAAAAAAAGCCCAATAAGCACTAAGCATGCACTCTGCTCAGACCTCTACACAGGAACGTAGGGAAATGATAGGCCCTGTCCCCATCCCAGGGTCTCAGAAACCCCAGAGACCCTCACAGAGACAGTTTGACCTCCTGGTTTTGCATGTGGCAATGCACTGAAGGCGGGCCTCCGATGAGCCTTACATCCTAATTTTTTAAGCAAATGAGGAGTTGAATGCACGAACAAGTCCCATTCTGTGCTGGATAAAGTCTAGACAGTGACCTTTTCTCAATAGCTTTCTGCTGCCTGGAATGAAGACTGCTGGGTGAGACCTACAGCAAGAGATGTATTGTCATCTCTACCTAGTACACACATATCCACTTACATCGAAACAAAGAATGATGAAACAGGATTTACTTTTTCTGTGTGAGAGACTCTTCTGTTCTAGTCGACTCTGTTTTCCATTTTAAAGGTTAGTACTAGCGCAGTGATTTCCTACCTGTTGAAGGGTTAGGACACAGTATGAAAATCATTAGGGTGATTGTCAAGATTTTGGAGTCAGATGGACCCAGGTTTGCATCCTGGCTCTGGCACCTAGAAGCTGTGTGACATTCAGTTCAGTTCAGTTCAGTCTCTCAGTCGTGTCCGACTCTTTAGGCAAACACGTTCCTCCTTCGTTAGAAGTCTCAGTTCCTCATCTGTACAATAGGAATAATGTAGACCCTACTACATGGGGGTAAGTGTGCGGGTTAAATGGGATAACACAGATAAAAGCTCCTGGCATAGAGTCAGTGATTGACAGGTGTGAGCTTTGACGTGGTTGTGAATATTATGATTCGTATTGTCCGGGTGCCGATCTGAACTCCTGCTTCCTGGGGAGTGGTAGTCAGAAAGGGCTTCCTGGAGGAAGACGCACTGAAGCAAGGCAGCAGGGCGGCCAGGAATCACTGCTGTCCTCACAGTGACCAGGAGCTCTGTGAGCATTCCAGGGACACACATTTTCTTCTCTATGAAGGGCAGACTTGTTCCCAAGTCTGGACCGTGTTAGACGCCTTTGCCTTTCACATTTAGGTCTCTAATCCACCCACAATTGATTTTTGTGTCTGGTGTAAAGTAAAGATCCAATTTCTTTTTTCCCTCCTTGTTTCTGAATGGATAACTGGTTCCCCTGCACTGTTCATTAGAGTCTCATCCTTCCCTGCTGATTTGTACATCCCCTCTCTCATATATCAAGGTTCCATACATGCACAGATCAGTTTCTGGACTCGATTCTGTTTCACCAGTCAATTTATCCATGCCTGTGCCCGTCTCATACTGTCTTAATTACTGCAGCTTTATAGTGATTCCTGATGTCGGGGAGGCCTGTCACCATCTTGTCCTTCTCCTGTAGAGCCCCTGGGCTGACTCTGGGCCTTTGCTCTTCTCTGCACGTTGCAGAATCAGCCTCTGCTAGAGACAGGTGCAAAGTCCCAGGAGCTCCGGACAAGAATCCATCTCAGGGTGCCTGGGCCTGCCGTGCCTCCTGGACGCACGGCTGCCGCCCACCGTGCTCAGCATTCGAGCCACCCTGGAACCACGTTCTAATTCATTTGCAGAGAAAAGCTCCGGGATGTGCCCAATCTTCGTCCCCTCTGCCTGCCACTTGCCCAGTGACTCCTCCGGTTTCCCTCCCAGGGACTCAGCCCTCATCATCCTGCCCAGGAAGCCTGCAAACTCCTTTCAGAAGACTGCTTGTTTCCTTGTCCTTGTCCACTAAGGACATAACCCTGGACAGACAGAAAGGCATCATGCTTTGGCAGTGCCAGGGTGATGGAGGAGACTCCCTGCGCCAGAGCTTGGCACAGCCAAACTCTTTGGCTTGGGTGTCTGCGAATAATTTCTTTATCTGAAGATAGGCCTGGGATTCAAGTGGGGAATGGGAAGAAGAGACCTGTCACTCTTGCTTATACTGTGGTTTTTCCTGGAGCGGGAAGACCCATGTTGGCAGCTTCACAACCTTTCCGGAGACCATTCTGACAGTGGTGCCAAGGAAATGACGCATCCCAAGCTCTGGTTTCATGCACTGGCTTAAAGAACAGAACGTGACTCATGGGCCAAGTGTACATGGTTGGTGTGGATTTGGTAGATCGGTTTTCAGCATACTGGTGTTCACACGCTTCCAGAATTTAGGAACATTTGCTTTGATGTGATGGTTTTGGGGTGAGAGTTTATGGTGAACCATCCCCTGCTGACCCTGGGCACAGCCCTTGTCCCCTTGGGTCTCAGTTTCCTCCTCTGTGAAATGAGCGTTTCAACTAGGTGATGACCCAAACTCCCTTTAACGCTCTTTTTTGTGATTCTACACTTGCGGTTTAAGAGCACAGAAATGAGAGACTTTCCTTTCCATCCTCTTAGCTACAAGATGCATGTTTCTGGGCCTTGCTTTGGTTATAGGTGCCTCCCTCCTTGCATAGAGGAGGTTGGTTGTCCCTGGCTGGCTGGGGCTGAGGGAGGGAGGGGAACCTGCGGGCCACAAAGAAGCAAGGTTTGAATTCTCGTGAGGCTGCACTGAATCTTGTCCACCTCCTCACTTGGGGAGATGTCCTGATTCTGGACACCTGTCCTGTTCTGTTGAGCTGAATGTGTCCTCGCAATGCCAGGGATCCGTGAGCCCCCAGGAGCCTTGGTGCTGGTACGGGCTCGCTGGCTGAACCCAGAACGTGGCAGTGGTATGTGGCTGGAGTGCTTTGGAACCTCCATGCTGAGACACCTGTCTTGTTTCCTCTTTCAGACCGCCGATTATTCCACCATGGCCTCGCTGGCAGGAGGGCTGGATGACATGAAGGCCAACCTGACCAGTCCCACCCCCGCTGACATCGGGAGCAGTGTGCCTGGGCCGCAGTCCTACCCCATTGTGACAGGTGAGGGCACCCGGGGTGTGGTGGGGCAAGGGGTGAGTGGCGGGGAAGGAGAGAACGCGTGTGATGATGAAAATGGCTTCTTGGTGCTTTGGGCTTGACAGGGGCCGTGTTTCTTTTAATGAGGTTAGGAGGTCCTGGAACAGCTTGGGGGACTGAGACATGGCTGTAGATGCTCTGATAGAGCCAGAGGAGAGCAGGTAGCAAATGGGCAGTGGGCTGGGCGTGGATGGAGCAGGGAAGCCTCACATCAAGGGGCTGGGTGATTTCGGGGCCCCTGGGACTGAGGTGAAGTGTTCAGATGACTGGGATTTAGCTGTCTGGGAGAAAGGCAGTCCTGGTGGGCCTCAGCCCGTAGGGTGAGTGGGATTCCTGCCAAATAGCTGCCAGGAGTTTCAGGTTTCCAGGTGGAGTCAAGAAGGACAGGAGGTTTAGACCTTTCTCAAAGACCAGTGGCTTGAGCTGTCAGTGTGAAAATGAAGCATGTGGGCCCTGGAGGCATGTTGCTGGGTTTGAACTTGTGGTAGATGCATATTCTTGAGGAAGTTAAATAAAAATTCTGGCCTTACAGATGGTTTTTTCATCTGTAAGATGATGCTAGCACCCACCCCACGGTGTTGCTGTGAGAATTAAATGCTGCAAACACATGAGCTGCTTAGACTCTGGTCCAGCGCACACAAGCACCCAGTACGGCGTGATTATTACTCCTTGTGAGGTGGCTGGTCACATCAGGCTCGCCGCTGTGAGAGGGGCTGGACCACAGGGTGGGGCAGGCAGACACCCCACCCTGCTCCAGCAGCACTGGGCTGATACGGACGGACAGACCCAGCCACCAACTCCGGGAAGATGTCTGACTGAACGGGCAAGAGGCAGGCTTGGGTACTGAACAGATGGTGGGGGGCAGGGGGCACTTGGACGAGAGCCTAAGGTAGTGGGATGTCCCCTCAGGCTGATACACGAGACCCAGGAAGCAGTCAGAGACAAGGGGTTCTTAGAAATGTCAGTGGGCTGTGCTTGCATCAGGACTGGATCTGGGTTAGAACTTTAGGGAAAGAGCTGGATGAGGCAGGCTCTCTCCCAGCCTCATGGAGGCTCCTAGGCAGGGCAGGCCCAGCTCTGAGACTGGAGCTCATGGGGCTCAGGTGAGAGTAGCCAGGGCTCTTTTTGCAGATCCAGGTACCACATGGGGATCAGTTCAGAGGCAAGAGTGACTTGGTCCACTCTCTGCCTGAAATGGGGCCAGAGGCTGGAGGGCAATTGAGTCTGCAAGGGATAGGGGTGTCAGTAACGGAGCAAGGATCTATGGAGAACCTCAGTCAGAATGAACTGAGGTTCATTCTTTTACTAAACATCACAGGTGTCCCATGAATCCTCCTCCTTGGGGCCATGAGGGTCTGTGACAAGATATCTGACAGCACCCCCATTTTACAGATGCAGAAACCAAGTCTCAGGGAGAGGAAGTATACAGGGGAAGGCAGAGAGGTAGAGCCGGCCTTCACAGTCTCCTGGGTCCTTATTCTTTTCAAAGAAGTACAGATAATTGGATAGGTAGGGGTGGTAAAGTAGAGAGAAGCCTGGATTAGTTAATAATAATAGTAAGTCACTTTATCTAGTAGTTATGGAGCTCCAGACACTCTGTGAGATGAACCCGTTTTACCCTTGGAGGAGCCCCGGGAGGTGGGTGCTATTATATCAGATCCGTTTCTTAAAAGGCCTGGGGCAATTAAGTAGCTTGCCAGAAATCACAGCCAGTGAGCCGCAGAGGTAAAATTGAAGACCCGGCGGGTACGGTCGGCCACTCTACCGCACAGATAGCCTGGGGCTAGTCCTGGCGCCCTCACTTCCATGCTGTGACTTTCATCCTGGTCTCTCGGGGCCCTTGTGAGGATCACGTGAGACCCCCGAGGGGCCTGCTCTGCAGATGGAGGGTTTGTTATTGGGTTTGGGGTTCATGGGTTTAGGCAGATCACAGGAAGACATATTCTACCATCTGCCCAAGCCTATTTAGATGGAAAGTAATCCAGTAAGCGTTGAGACTGTGGTTGTGTTTCTGAGACTCTTATCTATTGATGTGGCATACTGGTGGTCAGTTGCCCAAAGGGCTAACCTAACCCACAGATTAGAACCATATGTAAAAACAGATCTGGTTAGTTGGGCCCATGTAGGACTTTCTATAAATTTGAGTCAACATTAAAATTTTTTTAATCTGCATCTCTGGCTCTCTTGAAATATCAGATGATCTGGCCACACTGGGTGGTATTCTTACATGGTTGTAGAAAGCGGAGGATGAGTGGCAGGAGCCCCTCAAGACAGGACCTCCACCCACCTGCTTTCTCATTATCTTACAAGCCTAATCTGGAAAGGAATTTGAGTTGAAAACTCTTGATGCAGAAAGTCGGTGCTAAAAGCTAACTGGTTGCTTTAGCTGTTCGGGGTCTGCAGAAGGCCAATCTGGATGTGAGCTGAGTCTTTAGGTTGAACCCTTGACCAAAGATTTGTTTGTATTTTGATCTGTCTATTTTAAAGTCATATCATAGAGCAGAAAATGAATACAAATATAAATATCTCATACCTAAGTCAGAATTACACCTAATGTTGAACTATTAAAATTATTCTAATTACAAATATATAACACATACACAATAGTATAATATTACAAATATAACCGTTAGCTTTCTTGTAAGTAAACAGTAGCTGGCTAGAAAAATAAAATAGGGGAAAGCAGTAGCAACAGCACCAGAATAAAAAAAAGAAAGAGAGAGAGAGAATGCTGAGAAATAAACTTCCATTAAAACCCCACTAAAGGGTATAAAAGAGCAAATGGAGGGATCTCCCTGGTGGCCCAGTGGCTAAGACTCTTTGCTCCCAATACAGGGAGCTTGGGTTCAATCCCTGGTCAGGGAACTAGATTCCACTTGCCACAGCAAAGGTAGAAGGTCCTGCACGCTGCAACTAAGACCTGGTGCAGCCTAAATAAATAAATATTAAAAACAAAAAATGGAGAGCTACAGCTTGTTCTTAGACAGGAAGACTCAACACCATGAAGATGTCAGTTCCCCTAAAGTATTCTATTAATTCAAAGCGTTTTCAATCAAAATGCCAACAGAACTTAAGACTTGCCAAAATGACACTAATTACTAGACAAATAAATACTCAAGGGTAGCTAGAAAAATTCTGAAATAAAAAAGTGAATAAAACAGCATATTTTAAAATTTTATGATAGAGTTACAACAATTAAAACTACTAACTGAAAATGAAGCAAATAGATAAATGGAACAGCATACAGAGTTCAGATCATTTGTCATTGCACCATGTGCTCAGCCATGTCTAACTCTTTGGGTGTTTATAAATACAGCATTTCAAATCAGTAGAGGAAACATAAATCATTCAGTTAATGGTGTTGGGACAATTGCCCTATTGGATCCATACCTCACTCTCTATATCAAAATAAATTTCAAGTTGATCAAAACTTTAAATTGAAAGAATGAGGCCATAATAAAGCTAGGAAAAAAAAACACAAGGGAAATATTTTAATAATATTTAATAAAATAAAAAGGGAAAGGCCTTTTAAAATTTGTTCCAAATACAAAAGACAAAGAAAAATGAGAGAAATTACTGCTTAAAATATAAATGTTTCATATGTATGTAAAAACACTCAAAAGACAAAGAATAAAAAATTTCTAAGTGGAACACAGGTGACAAAAAGCTAATTTCCTTAATATATAAAGAAGTTTTTAGAAATAAAAGAAAGAAGTCAATAGAAAAAAATGGGTAAAGCAAATGAACAGGAGAAATGCAGATGCCCCATGGCATATAAGAAGATATGCACTGTATTCATAATTTTAAAGCTACAAATTAAAATAAACATTAGACTCTAACAAAACCTATCAGCTTATCAAAGACTGGAATGTTTCTTGAGGCCCAACTGGAGAGGTTTCTGAAACAGATATTTTCATACACTGTTATATGCATATAAATCAGTGCAGTGTTTTTTGGAAAGAAATGTGTCAATAACTTTCAAAATTTTAAATGGACATACCTACCATCTAACCCAGAACTTGTATATTCTCTTTAAGAACTTTATTTCACAGATATATTCACACAGATGCACAGTGATACCTAAATCTATATAATAATGACAGAGTTATTTATCATGAAAAGCAAATAGAAAAAACTAATGTTTATCACTAGGAGGTGGTTTAATAAATTATGGTTCCTTCACACAATAAACTACTCTGCAACCATTGAAAAGAACTAAGTAGAGCTATCTGTGCTGACATGAATGTGTTCGAGATATAACACACTAATTGTTCAAGATATAACACATTAATTGTTTAAATAAACATTTTTGCAGAATAATGTGTTTAGTATGATCCCATTAGTGAAAAAAATATAAAGGACACACACAGAGGCATGGACACGCGTACGCAGATCAGATGCGTGTGTGTGATGATGGGAGGAGACGCTGCTCGGGCCCCCCACCCCCCCTTCATGGGGCACTGGAGTGCTGCGCTGAAACCGGGGTTCTCTGCTCAGCCCCACCCGCTGTCCCCTGAGGATAGCGAATATTCAGAGTGTGCCACTTTACTCTCCTGAAATTAGGTTCATAACAAATATAGCCTATCTTCACAAGTAATTTCAAATAAAATAAAAATAATGCTCAACTATTAGATATAGGATGTGAGAGTTGGACCATAAGAAGTCTGAGCACTGAAGAATTGATGCTTTTGAACTGTGGTGTTGGAGAAGACTCTTGAGAGTCCTGTGGACTGCAAGGAGATCCAACCAGTCCATCCTAAAGGAGATCGGTCCTGGGTGTTCATTGGAAGGACTGATGCTGAAGGTGAAGCTCCAGTACTTTGGCCACTGGATACGAAGAGCTGACTCACTGGAAAAGACCCTGATGCTGGGAAAGACTGAAGGCAGGGGGACGAGGAGACAATAGAGGATGACATGATTGGATGGCATCACCAACTTGATGGACATGAGTTTGAGTAGGCTCC